GCGCTGAGAATCCTTCTGCCAGCGCCGGCACTGCTTTTTTTTCCCACGGAACAGGTATCGATGAAACGACGGCTTCCTGTCACCAGCTTGCCGGTGGTGCCCACGCGAGGTCCACCGCCACAACCTGACGACTTTGTGGTGTCGCACAACATCTCGCCTGCTCTTATTCAGACTTCGTCCTCGCCCAAGCACAAGGGAGCGGAAGGGACGTTGAGATGCGATGAAACGGTGCAGTGATTCTCATTGAACTGGCTCGTCCAAGCTGTTTCGCCTAGCTAACCACACACACAAGATTGAGGAACGAGCAACAAACATTCCATCTCCTCCGGCCTCGCTCTTCAGCTTGCAGTGGTTCCTCACGCAGCCCTCTTAGCCGTCCGTGGTGTGTCATCCTTTGAACTCCGACCCGAGCGCCTGGGGAAACAACGACGAAACCTTACCGCCCGGGATCGTTCATTACAGCCCTCCTGGAAGGTGGCGCTCCGACAGCAGCTTTCTTCCAGTCAGGTGTTCTCTCGCAAGATTGTGCATGAACCATTTCCTTCCAAGATCTGGGAACCGTTCCCGACCAAGTCATGAGGTCATGGAGCGCACCTGGCCACCCTGGACCGTGGCTCGAGCCTCTTGTGAGCGCCAGTTGGCTGCACTTTGCTGAAGGGACCAGGCCTCGCGTTAGAGCTTAGCAGCACTGCGATGCCGTCGAAGCTCGAGGCTCAAAACATTGGCAAGCCTCACGCAACGTCAGTGGTTCTCGTTGGCTCGTATTCGCCATCAGAGTGCAAGAGCAGTGGCGTCTCAGCAGCGCTCAACCTAGATATCAGCAACCTCTGGCTGCCCAGCGCCCATGAGTCTCTCATCATCATCAAGGAGCCATACTCGAAATCATCTCGCTCCCAGCCAAAGCCGGATGGTGGCCACCATATCACGGTTCTAATCAAAGCGCTTGTTAACGCCTTATCACCCGGCAGTGTTCATGCCGGGCATGAGCGGTGTAACAGATGCCGCTCCCCCGTCAACTTTCCCAGCAGATACACTACGTCCTGGACCATTTCCGATACTACCGACAGACTTGCCACCGAGGAGATCAGGCCATCTGTGAATCGCAGTCCGATGGATGTGATGCGGTAGCAAGAGGCAAGCATCGCAACCTGGCAGACCCGCTTGCAGCCGGCTTACCGAAGTGAGTCGAGATGTTACCATGATTTTATCTCTTCGGCCCCTGAGCCTCGCGGGCGCAACGCAACAGTTCTTTTCCCAATCCGAGAGTTGTCCCCGGTCCAGTTTGGGGCCCTGGCATGGCTTCAACTCTTCGTCGACCAACGAGATTGATTACACAGACAGCGACGACTGATGCTGTGTGGCAATGAAGACGGTGGGGCTCACCAGGCTTTGGCCAAAACAAGAAGCCAATTTAACCGTGCAGCAACGGCTCATGGCGCTGCGACTATTCCCGTCTGGCGCTGTGGGCGCGCCCCCCAGACTTGCAGCCACAAGATGGAGTCTGCCAGGAAGACCCCTTCCCAGCGTCGCTTTATCCCGTAGCGCCTCGGGGGTCGTTGTCCCTGTATCGTGAATGCTGGTGGATCAGTAATTTCCATTCACTTTCTTACGTGCAGTAGAGCCACAGGCGCCAGAGACCGGCAGCCGCTCAAGGCGCCGCCCCCATCGAGTGCCGTCATATCACCCATAGACCATACGACGAGGCAATACAAAGACATGGAGTTGGCAATTGCGATCGACCTTGCTTACCCTCGCAAGCGCCTTGGACACTGAGACACAAGAACAAACGTCTTCAACAAGACCCTGATGGCGGGGGACGTCATTGGCGGTCTGTGCCTGTCGCTTCAAAAGCCAAGTGCTCAGATCGACGAAGCCAGCCAATCAGGCGTCATGTGAAGAAAAAGGTACATAGACCCTGAGAAAGACAGGAGGGAAGCTCCACGTCTTGTTTGACAATGGGAATTGCAAGAACCCTCGATGGAGAGGAGAGCGATGATTTGTTCCAAGGTCTCGCAGCTGTGGTGAAAGACGGCCAATACTCTCGCGGTTCTGATACTACGAGTCTAGACAGATGGTGGCTCCAAGCCATCCACCTTCAGATCCGGATCTGCACCTCGACGGCGCTCAAGAAAGTATGGCCAAGCTTCGGCAAGCTTCTCTTCCGTCGACGACGCTGACGACTACTTCACTCGGGACTGCACCTCAAGCCAAGGCTGCATCTTGTTTTTGTCATTGACGAGTCTGCTGCAGAACACAGCAAGCGCCGTTTCGTTTATTTGACAAACATTGAGCTGCCTGCAAGTGCTTTGACGCTCGAGATACCGCCAAGCGCCACTGTGGGTGGCTGTGGCAACTTCGAGTTGACGGGCAGGTGTGGCGCTTGCTATTGTCTTTGAGACTATGCGGGCTTGACATCAACCGCACTCGGATGGACAGCTGGGTAAGGCACTTCGTCCAATGTCGTTCGTGTCATCCTGTACCTCGTGCTTGGTAACCTCAAACCGCATGGAATTATTTGACATTCGGCTAATTTTCCACCGGAATCAAGTTTGTGATCTTGAGCACATTCCAATTCATACACTCCTTGACACACACACACGCTCGTGTCCCCAGGGGCAAGTTGGCGTTTTGCAGTGTCAAGATTGAGCCCAAGCAAACTTGTGTGCCCGAGTCTCTAAGGACGTCGAATGGCGCGAATCACGGAACTTTGGTTGAGCCTGTCGGAGCTATAGGCAATTCCCTTCGAAAGAACCCTGCTGGGTGTATGCGCAGGCCGGGGATGCTCGCTCACAAGGAGGAACGGAGTTTTGCAACGTGGTCACGTAGATGTCCAAACCTGACAATTATGTTTTACGGACAGGAAGGGAGCAGCTGTCCACTTGTCGCCTTTACGAAGTTTCAGCAACCCGTCGAGATGCTGCTGTCCCTGGGTTGCCATCAGTCGAGAGTCCCGCCTCAAGACGGGACAACCCTTGGATGGATTAATGTTGTCAGCCAGATGGGACCATCGCCTTCGACATCTTTTGGTAACGAGTTTCAAGCCATCGATCCATCGACCAAACCAGGATGGTTCATCGAGCAACCGGAGGCTCGCTTGGTATCCTGACCCCCGATTCCCGGCGTCATTTCAACTTGGGACGAAGTCCACCCCAAGGACGGTCGGGTTCCCGCTAGATGTGCAACAGATCAACTCAACCTCGTCCCGCACTTTGGGCTTTTACCATCTCGTCCAATAAGGAGTCGGTGGTCATCCACCAATACAGTGAAACGCGAAATCTACCGCCCCCATGGCCGCCGGCCGTATTCAGCCTGAAGACCAGCCGGCGTCGCGGACGTGTTTCAGATGCGCCATCAATCTGACGGGAGGCTCTCGTCGCAGATTCTCGCTTCACCACCAGACCGCTTCACCTCCCTAGCTCAAAGGCCACCACGGTGAACCCCTCACGTGAGTACGTTTACCCCTTGTTCATGCGCCATCCCACCCTTCTCTCTCCGAGACACTCTTCACGACAATGCGGCGCATCGCTATTGAGCACGTTGCGGAGTTGGGATGGCGGGTGTAGCGATCGGATGGACAGTACAGTCTCGGCAACCTGCTTCCGTCGGCGAGATGCATTGGGCCGGGTTGGAGTGGACTCAAAACATCCCCGGACGCGGCCCGTCGTTCTTCTCGGGCGTGGACGCTGTCACGATATGTCACAGTCGCAGAGGCCAGTACCGGGTAGAAGCTGGTTAGATCTGTCGTGTGCCCGGGCTTGCAATGGGAGACGACTCGCCCCGCCGACGGAATCGCCATGATGAATGAGAGAGGGGGTCCCATCTGACAACAACATTGGCAAGTGATGGTGGAAGGCTCGAGTGACTCGGAAACGCCTACTCGAATCGCGAGAGTTCACTACTGGCTGCATGGTTTCACTGCGACCCCCGCAAGTGTGCCGTCCAGCGGCTTTACTGGCTTTTTTCTTTGTTTTTTCTTTTTACGTTTTCGTCTTGGAAAGGCATATTTGCTTCGCATTGATCTGGGGTCGCGTGTGTGCCAAATCAAAGACCACATCCACGTCTCGCATGCGCTTCGGACCGTGTCATATCAACAATCTGTTTCTCGCGCCACACGTGGTCAGCTAGACCAAGTCTACTTCAAACGACTATCCAGGCTACTCGGATTTCTAACAGCATACCGTTCCGGGTAGGTCGTGCGACGCGGGGTAGCCAGCCGGGCTGTCCTCTGAAGACGCGAGATGGGGCCGAAAGAGCGATGAAGTAACCATTGGGCCCGGCGTCCTGGGTATCAGGCCCGAGTCATCCGGTTTTCGACGACATGCCCATGGAACCATCCGGGGGCGTCTACATACTGTCCGGAAGGTCTCCAAATGGCTGTCATGGTAGACCGCAGCCTCTCCGCAACATTCGGCACGTCGCCAGGCGTACTTGCTCCGCAAAGCCCTTGGCTCTGGACCAGGCTGCATGGCAGTGCCGTGCTGCCGGCAAATGGCGTCATCCAGAGAACACATCGTCCATTCGTATTCACCGGTTGGGTTGGGTCTAGTGACCTCACGACCAAGTCATGGGAGCCACGCGTCCCGCTTCGGTGCCCGCCTCGTCTTCGGAGCCGCCGCTGCCGTGCTACGGAGCCTGCGCCCGCCGGGCGGATTCCACATCATGCTTGGAGGTTGTCAATTTTGCTCTGGTTTGTTTGGGCTCCATGCCTCCGATAGGAGAGGATTTACGGCCTTTATACGGGAGGCCATGTCAAGGTCTTGACCGGCCAGCTTCATTCACATATATCCCTTTGTGGAGAGACCATGTTCGCTGTGCCACAAACGCCCACGAGCGGTTGGCGTGAGACTCTCGTCCGGTGTTCACGTGGCTGTTACCCGGAGGATACATGCGCTCTCTCGGCCGGGATCCGGACTCCAAGCTCCGGTCCTCTCGGCAGAAGAGCGAGGCCACCAACAGCTCATTCACGACTGTACATCCAGCACCCGGGGACCAAAAAAATATGGACGATCAGGGAATCGAACCCTGGACCTTCCGCAATCACGAGTTCGGGATCGTGCGAAGCAGACATTATACCCCTAAACCAATCGCCCGACGGTCTCTTCTGATGCCGAGTGGAGGGGAAGAGGACCGTGAACCCCCATTGTGTCGGCGTGAGCGCGCATGCGGTCGTTCTGGAATGGCCTGGAATCCCGCGATGGAGTCGGTCTTCCCGAAAGCAAACGCCGCGGAATCGCGCGGTGGGCGACGAGGGCATACGAGGGGTGGGGCCGTCGTCCAGTCCGGAGCGTTCTTGTTGAAGACTGTTTCTCCCAGAGGGCGATGTGCCTTCTGGGGTCCAAAAACGCCCAGAGACGATTGTGAGGCTCTTGGCTACATTGGCGACGGCGGGCGGCCCAGCTGAGCATCTTTGGTGGTCGATGCCGCCGTCGAGCTGCACAACCCATAACACCAGACCGTTAACTGGAAACAAGGGACAAGAGAAAGAAAAAAGAAATGCCAAGGCTTAAATATAGCCTCAGATCTTCAGCCCTGTCGCAGGCGCCAGGACCGGCGCTGGCGAGACGGTCCGTGGGCGGCGCAATGTAACCTCACCTCGAGCAACCGACGGGGTCTCGTCGTCTCAAGGAGACAACATGCGATCTTCGAAACATTAACCCCCCGATTGCACTAGCGTTAAAAATAGCCTGACAGCTCGTCCGACTCACTCAATTACCCTGTCGTCATTCTATGAGCTACGCTACATGGCTGCTGTCTCAAATCCTTCTGCACCAGTTGTATCGGTTTGATGGGGCGGCTTGAGCTTCGTGATGGAAGGCCCGGCGGGGATCAGCAGAGACGACGAGGGGGGACGGCATGGGACATCACTCATGAATAGGTCCGGCCACGCGTCTGGGGGGGCATCATCGTCGGTGGGACGAGACCAAGTTTCCTGCAGCCCGTAAGCTTGGAGGCATGGGATAAGGCGGCCTTGGGAAGCGAGTCGCACTTCATTGGGCGACGTCTCGTCGGTCATCACCGTGAGAGGCTACATGAGCGCCAGAGACTGCCGCCCACCTCGAGGGTCCTGAACAGCCGAAACCACGAGCACGCGGGACGATGGACAGGTGTGATAAGTCGACATCTGTTCAGCGTCTCCGACGGTTATGGAGAATCACTTTCACGCAGGTGCATCACATGGCCGGAGGGAAACGTTGAAACAAAGCCAGCCGTCATTTCCGAACATCATCAAAAGTCTCGTATCATGACATGTAATATCCCATATCGCTTCCGCATGAGCCGCTCGCTTTCTCGTGACATAAACCAACATGGCGCATCCATCCGAAAGAAAAACCAAGCAAGATTCCTCCCCAGCGTTGTCCCCGTCCCGTCGTATCTAGAGGCCCTACAACGCCGTGGAAGCAAAGACATACCGAAAGCATCGCTGTACATCCCAGAACAAATGACCAAACCACGCGTCCAAACATTTCATACAACAAGAAGACAAGCACGACAAGGATGCCGTCCTGGAATAGGGGGAAAGGGAGAGAGGGAAAACCAAGGGCTTCATCGCCGGTAGTTGTACTCCCTCTCCCTCCTCCGGTCCGAGATGGTAACCCGCATCCTCTCCTCCTCGGGCGGCGGGGGCGGCGGCAGCATCCGCGGCGGGCTGTAGCGCCTCCCCTCGACGTAGCGGAACGTCTCGTACCGCGGCTCGACGGGGACGGGGACGGGATACGGGACCCGCACGGGCACCAACTTCTCCCTCTCGACGTACACCTCCCGAATGTCCCGCTCGCGGTCCCGGCTCCCGCGGCGCGAGTGGCTCCTGCTCCGGCTGCTGCGCGAGCTCTTGCTGGACTTGACGGAGGGCTCGACGTCCACGGCGATGACCTCGATGGGCGCCGGCTCGGGGACCACGACGGGGGCGGGCGGCGGCGGGGGAGGGCACGGCAGAGCCGGGGGCGGGGGCGGAGGGGGCTCGACTTTCACGGGCGGCGGGGGCGCGGGCTCGACGATGACGGGTGGGGGAGGGGGCGTGCACTCGCGGGGCGGGGGCGGGATGAAGGTCGTCTTCTTTGTGCGGACGGTGACGGCGCCGTTGGTGGGGGGTTCGAGGTAGAGGCGCTTCTTTGCGCCGTGGTGGTGGTGGTGGCGGTGGTGGTGGTGGTACTCGTAGTATTCCCTCGAGGAAGCTGGTTGGTTGGGGGGGAAGCCGTTAGTTGGGATGAAGGGGGGCCTCGACGCCATGCGGTGACGTTAGGGATTGGGGCTTACTCGTACCCATTCTGGACGGCTGGATTCGTTCCAAAGCGTGTGTGTGTGTGTTTTGTCTGAAGTTCTGAGTGCGCCCAGTTCGTGGCCTACACTTGTGTGCGACGTCGCGACGCCGGGGGGGGGGGGGAGTTTGTGTATTTTCTTTTTCTTTCTTGCGAGTTGTGCAGACGGGCAGGCGCAGACCCCCGAGGATGGGACGAAATGCGATGCGCGAGCAAGCAAGCACAAAGCAAAAAGGATGGAGTGTGCGGTTGTTTGGCGGGACTCGCAAGCCGACGTGCAGTTGCGTGGACGGAAAAGGGCGGTGATCACCTGCGGGACTGTGTCTTTAAATAAAGTTACCAGTGGCGGCAAACCGGGTAGTCTAGAACCAAGAAAAAAAAAGACTTGGATGTACGTGTGTGGGTTGGGTTGGGTTGGGTAGGTTGGTGGTCGAGGGTTGTTTTGGTTTGGAACCATCGGTCAGAGAACAAGGGGGGGGAAGAGAGGCGGGAACGACGGGCGGGAGATGCGCTATCCATTATATAACTCACCACCACACGAGGGCCGTCTGGGCCTACGGGGTGCGTGTGGTGGTGGGCAGAAGAAGCAAGGTCGGCCTGCCTGTCACTGCCCCTCCACGCCGGCGGCCAACCACATCGAGCGGGATGAAGGAGGGGAGGAGGGAAAGAGAAGAAGAGGAAAAAAGCCACCAAGAGAATGACAATACACCACCCCCATCGTCCAGCCGCCAGTCGGCCCAAGAGCGCCCAGTGAGGAGGGGGCATCCAGGCAGGCCGGGCTGCCGTGCATCGTAGTCTGTCATCCCGAGAGAAGACCCAGCAGAGAGGCTCGGGCAAAGGCACATCGTCCCCTCCAAGAAGGGGACGGGAGGCCCGATCGAAGCTGCACGCAAGAGTGGAGGGGAACGGGGGCGCCCAGGATGGAGAGATGCACATGCAGAACACTGCCCGCTTGACTGGGGGGGTTCTTTGACCAGGCTATTAGCAATAAGGTATCTAAACGAAGCTGCGCCGACGCCGATGCGGTGCGAGGGGAGCAATTCCAACAACAATGACACTCAACGTCGGTTTCCCCCGCCGGCGTGACAATTAAACCCACCCGTTCAACCAAGCCAGGACATCCCCTTCCGCTCCTCCTCCTCCTCCTCCTCCTCCTCCTCCCGCTCCCTCTCTTGCCGTGTTTCTCTCCCACCCACATCCTTTCTCTCTCACCACTGGCCGACCACTGCGCAGGAGAGAAGCGTCCCTTCTATCCTTCCCTCCGTGTGGCCGACAAGGGTGCGCCATTGGGCAATTGAGGCCTTATGACGCCAGCGCGCACGTCACGCCAGAAAAACCAAGATTCGAGGCGGTCGGCCGGGTGCCCCTCCTCCGCCCTATTAGAGCGACGCTTTCTGCGCGAACCGAACCGGCTGACATGCCTCCGGCTCAGACCAGTCATTCGCCCAAACCCACCACCACGGGAGGGGGGGCTGCGTCTGTCGTTGTCTTTGCATGTGCCGGCCGCCCTCGCTTCCATCGCGACCGTCACCCGCAAAGCAAGCCGGAAAAAAAGTGAATAGGGTGAAATCAAGGTCGTGGTCGTGCTCCTCCTTGCTGCCGCCAGCCTGCGCGTTTGTGTGGCGTGCCCGTCGGCCCAACTGGGGATGCCGGGCCACGTCCGGGGAACTTTCAGCTCGCACCGCAGACGCATCTCTCGGGACTCGAAAAGAGAGGGGGTTGCCCCTGATCGTGGGGTCGCAGGGCTGAGCTTGTCAGATTGGGTGAGCTGGCAGCTCCATCGTCGTCCCAACCATCTCCCGAACCGCCATAGCTCGGTTCCGGCGCCGTCGTTGGGCGAGAAGAGAGAGGAGGGGAGAGAAAGGGAGACAACAATCCTCTCTGCCTTGTCTGGTCCGAGGCGGGAGGCTGGTTGGCTGGCCTGAAACCCCAGTTGGGCGCCGTCTCACGATGCCAAGCCGATGAACGACAGCGGTCCGTCTGTCCCATCGCCCCTCCGGCACTCGTGCTGGGTGCGCGCCCGGGTGCTTGTCCCGACCAAGACTCCGCTGGCGGCCCAACCTTTTGACCGCCCATCCATCTGCTTCTTCCATTCACCCAGCCCAAGTCTAGACCAGTGCCGCCCAGAGTCTGCTAGACCCTTGAACCAGGGTCCCGGCTCCCTTCGAATGCCCCCGCGCTTCCTGGATTTCGATCCAAGGCAGTTGTCGTCGTCGGACCAGGGTCGTAAGTGCGTCGCGCAACTGCCGCCGTACGCTTCTGGCTTCAGGTCCGCCGGGTTTGGCCTCCCAGGCGACTATCGAGCCGCCTCACGAAGCTCTGTTTGGCTGACGTCGGCCGGCTATACACAGCCTGCGGGGCGGGGAGTGTTTCGATCGCCGCATGGTGGTGAGGCTTCTCGGAGACGTCTCCGTGCGACGGCAACTTTGAACCAAGCGTCTCGTCGCCTTGCATCTTTCGAACCACCCAGTTGCAGAGGTGTCCCATCTCGCCCATCCACCAGAGGCCGAGCACGATCGTCAGGATGGTCACCGGTATGGCGGTCGCCCAGTACAGCCACTGCCCGTCCTTCATGTCTCGGATGTCGCTAGAGTTCATTCCGAAGATGCTCGAAACGGCGCTCAGGGGCAGGAAGATGATGGTCACAATGGTGAAGGCGTAAATGGCCTGCTCCTGGCGGTCCTTCGTCACCGCCGCGTTGTTGAGGTTCTAGTCTCCAGGTTAGCGCCTGCATCCCGGCTCCCGAGCCCACGCGGTATCGACTCACCGTCTGTTCCAAAACGTCAGCTTGCTCGCCGTACTCCTGGAAGTCTCTGTTGCGCCTCTCCAGCAGC